TTGTTCATCAATAAAATATTTTCTTTTGCTTTTTTAGAATTGACTCTAATTGAAAATTTTATAATTTTTATAAAATTGACTGTTTATATAATGTTTTGTTAGCTCATACTTTCTCTGCTTTCCTCATTCATTTGCTCATTTATTGCCCATTTATTGCTCATTTATTTGCTCATTTATTGGTTTCATCCTTTTAATCTCTATGTTGAATCGATTTACCAATGTTACTTTAGCTTATGCTTATTTTTTCATTTAATTTTAATAAATACTAATCTTTAATCATAGTGAGATAATGAACTTAATTTAGTTTTAGGGTATATAATGGGTGGTAATTAATAATTTTAAATGTGTACCATAATACCCGCATGAATTATGTAATTGTGAAATTCGATTTTTTTTTCCAAGTTTGTCTACCATATTAAGTTTTGGTTTGAATGAGTACCTAGATGGTCCTATTGGACCACTGAATTTTAATTGATTGTGTGAACCCTATTTGCAATACAGAATAGAATACTTCTTGTTTATAGTAATTTTCTGAAATTAGTTCTTATAATGAAAGTATCAAAACAAACTAAAACCATAAGCGTGAGTCCAATACATCGAAACTGGACTCAGTGTATTGAAAATTTGTTATTTTATCAGTACTTTATTTAATCAATATTTCAGTAATTAATATAGATATTTTAGTAACCAATATTAATGTTTTAGTAATTAATTTAGTAATCGATAATCTAGTAATTTGTAACTCTTAGATATTTCATTTAGACAAAAGCACAATCTATGAATAGCTGAAAAAAACCTTCTCGTTTGTGATTTTTTCAGTACTTTATTCAATCTCTATTTTAGTGATTAATATCGATATTTTAGTAACCATTATCAACGCTTTGGTGATTAATTTAGTAATCGATAATTTAGTTCTTAGTAACTCTATCCATTTACGCTAAAACACAATCTATGGATAGATGGAAAAAAGCTTCTCGTTTTCGTGATCTTCTCTTTATTCAATCTATATTTTAATAATTAATATCGTTATTTTAGTAAATAATAATGATATTTTAGTTATTAATTTAACATTCTACAATTCAGCAGTTAGTAACTCTTAATTACGTCATTTACACAAAAGCACAATTTATGAATAGCTGGAAAAAAGCTTCTCGTTTTTGTGATCTTTTCTTTATTTAATCTATATTTTAATAATTAATATCGATATTTTAGAAAATAATATTGATATTTTAGTTATTAATTTAACATTCTACAATCCAGCAGTTAGTAACTCTTAATTATGTCATTTACACAAAAGCACAATCTATGAATAATTTCTCGTGATTTAAAATTTTATGTAATTATTATACTCTCATAAGCTGCAAAACAAACTAAAATGATAATTGTGAGCTCAATATTTCGAGACCAGACGATATTCATTAAAAAGCTCTTTGATGCGTAAAATGTAATAACGCGTAATTGTTTTAAGGAATTCCGTGTTTAACGAGAGAATAACAATTATTAGAGTCAACAAGTTATTCGCAATTGCTTGACGGGTAAGCACTAGAATAAACATTTCGTTTTAAATCGCTTCTGCAGTAATAATTTATCAAATTTCCGAGTAACAGTTTACCGAAAAATGAGCTAAATGTTCTCAAATATTAAAACATAGATAATTTTCTATATAATTCTATATTTTTCGTGAAGTTAATTGATTTAACTTTCATGTTTCGTTCAAGCATTTTGATAAAATAAAATAAAAATATTTAATTACATTTGGAATGCTAATTCTTTAAAGAATTTTTAATAAAACAATTTGGAAAGAATAGAAAAAAACGTGCTTTAAGTCAATTTTTTTACTTAACACTGTTTTTTCTTTTAAATGATAATAAAAAACATAAAAATATTGATTTCGTCTGTAAAGAAATTTGTATAACAATAAAAATTAATAAGAAATTTTATATATGATCAACTTATTGGTTAAATATCCATTTAGAGATGAATATGGATAAATATTCATTCATTTTGAATTGTTAAAAATGGATCTCTGTCTTCTAGCCTCAAAATTTTTAATTTTAAAATCAAATTTCTGAAGCTATTTTTTAGCAACTCTTACAAAATAAAATCATAGTAAAGAAATTTTAATTTTATTTAAAAATCTTATATTTTTTTGATAAATATATATTCAAATACAATCCAAGATCATTTTTTTTAAATAAAAATATTACAAATTGTAATAAGAAACGGATAATAGCTTGTTTTTTTTCATAGACAAGCAATAAGAATTTTCTATATCTCAATTTTACAGAACAAGATAATATTAGCCAGTTAATAATACTTGAAACAGTTTCCAATTTTTAAATTTTCTTACAGTTATGCAATTTGCTAAAAAACACGAGAACGCTTCCAGAAACTTTTCATGCATTATTATCTGCTGTAATACTGTTTTACTTTCTTTTATTCATTTATTTATTTATTTTTATGAAAATGACAAATTTTTTTTCCAACTCCCACTCGGAGATTGAAATTTGTCATTCTGGTATCAGAAGAGCAGATTTGTTAACCACTCTTTCAAGGGCAGCATATTAGGTGGACAAACATTTCTCTCACTGTAAGGACAGATAGTACTGAGAAAAGAACGAAAAAACAACCATGCCTTGTCCGGAATTCGAACCTGATATCTATGATGAGGTCAGCTTTTTGATCACTATACAGTCTATCGAATCAATGTAGCAATTAAATAAGTTGTTGCAGAAAGTTTGCAAGTGTCAATTTCTTCTCTAAGGCAACAAATGCACAACTTCAAAACCTAAATATTGCTTCACTCTGGTTGCAATAACATCTCGTATTTTCAATAAAAAGTATTCAAAAAGTTTTTAAATGCTAACTCATTACCTTATAACAGTTTACGTTTTTGGTAATTCAATATTTTGACTAATACCTCAACTTATTTGACTTAAATGGCTAATTATTATCTTGAGGAGTCATCTATTTAATTATTATTGGAGGAGTCATCTATTTAATTATTATTAGAGGAGTCATCTTATTATATTCATTAATAATAATAGTCTCATTATTATTAAAGGAGTCATCTTATTATATTCATTAACAATAATGATCATTATTATTAGAGGAGACATCTTATTATATTCAGTAACAATAATAATCATTATTATTAGAGGAGTCATCTTATTATATTCAGTAACAATAATAATCATTATTATTAGAGGAGTCATTTAAAGTTAATTGTTTTTTAAGCCATTTTAAGTTTTCAACAGCTTAAGTATTACTTACAGAATGAAATAAAAATCATACGATACAAAAAATATTATAATAATTCAGTACTTCAGTTTTTCAGTTCAGGTTCAATAAATAGCCAAAAAAAATGTCATTTTTCAAATTATTAAATGCAAGGAGAGAAAAAATTTACCACTTATTTGGTAGTTTTTCCGTTTATATGGCAACGACTTCCCGGAAATTATGGCTTTTAAAATTATGGTTCTTATTACCACACATTTCGTATTAAATGCGAAATTGAATATTAAATTTAACCGCATAAATGGTTTTTATGCCATGCTCTAAGATATCATGTTACCATTACCAAATTTTACCACGTTTATCAAATTTTACTATTTATCCTAAAATTATATTTTATTATTCCTTTTACCAAAATCATTACCAAAGCACTTCGGTAAAATTTACCTAGCTTTTTGGTGTTCCCACAGAGCTAGAGACACTGTAAATTTCATCATATACTGATAAACCATCTTCTCAGTTACTAAAGTTTTTGCTAAAGCGTAAAAATTAGTCATTCTTCTGATTATGTAGCTAACGAGCAGTTTAACTAGATTGATTCATTAAACTGCCAAAAAAGTTCATTTTTCAAATTAATAGGTTATTTGCGAACTACCTTCTAGAAATTCGTTAAAGTCAAAATAAAATCTTAGCTGGAACATTAGCTACGTCTCTGTACGCTTAAATAAACATAATGTTATTTTTTTTTTGTATCTAAATAGAAGCAAGTCAATACAATCAAACAATTAACAAAATAGTTGACAAAATGAGGTAAACAAACGTTTGAACTTAACCGATATGGTAACCGTATATGTGCAAATTACTAAGGTAGATAGCCGAAAACTTTTCATTCCACAATTTAACGAATTATAGTTAAACTGATATTTCGTTGGGAAATGTACCGAGGTAAATTGTGGAAGATTCTTGATTCCGCACTTCAATTTATCATCCAACTTAATCTGCAGATTATCTAAGCAATTTGCATGTCAGCGACTTCTGAGCTTTACTGGTAACATATATACAACTACCATATTCTTAAAATCTTTAATGCATTTATTTTAAAAAAATATCTAGACCAAATGCATACCCCCAACCTATTCAAAGGTGATTCAAATATGGTGATATATTTTTTGCTAAAAACATAACTTTCCCATTTAACAATGACGCAGTCATCAAATTAGTTAAAAGAATGAGATAAACAAACTTTTGAACTTTTCCGTTACAGAAACCGTAAATGAACACATTACCTAGGTAAATTGCGAAAAACACTTGATTCCACACTTCAACATATCACCCTAGTTAATCTGCAGATTAGCTAATCAATGTGTATATTAGCGGCTTTTGAATTTTACCGACAACATCTCTACAATAGTCATATTATTAAAGTCTTCATTGCGGTTAAACACCTGTACCAAATGTATGCCCAACAGCCTGTTCAAAGGTGATACAAATGTGGTGATATATTTTTTGCTAAAAGCGTAACTTTCACAACTAACAATGACTATAAATTATTCTAAATTTGATGCATCTTACAAAACGATTCTTTAATTCCCACGGAAGCAGACAGCCCACTGAGCCAGAAATGATGATAGGATAGAGGATAAGATCTTCATCGCGTGCAACTGACTCTTCACCTTCCTCTTGTCGGAGGAAAGGGGGGGAGAAGAAAGGGAAAGGAGGGGCCAGATATAGGGGATAGGTCATCATAGAGCCAACGGACTGAAGAAAGTGAAGGGACAAAGAATAAAAAAGAAAAAAATCTTGTTTGGACGAGACCAACTAACCTGATTTCGCTCTGTCTGCATCTCATATAAAAGCCTCACCATCTCAATCCAGGGATATCTCATCTCTTGGCTCTCAGCAGTCATGGGAATTACAAAGGTAAGAGCTCCTCTTACAGATATTTAGTAACTGTTACATATATGAAGTAACGAGTATTACCTAACTGGGATTTTTGAATATAATCTTGAATAAGAAGTAGTTACTTTATAAAAATAATTTTTCTTATTTGAAGCTTTATTTCCTTAAAAAACAAGATATGGAAAAGAAAAATATGCTAAATTTGTTAATATTATATAAATTACATAGCTAAGTTTCCTTCTGGAATATCAAATTATATTATTATATATCCTAATATATAGTATTAAATATATTTAATAAAAAAGTTTTAGTTTACTTATTTTAAATTTAAAAAAATAACTTTTTATAATATTCTGCAAACTAAATTATAGTCAATTAACACTTATTTAGAAATTGAAGATTAATTATACTTAATTTAATGAAAATAACAATTTTAAACAGTATTTAAAGATAAAATGACAACAAAAAAAAATTTCTGAATTATTTTACAAATTATAATAATTTAATACTTATTTAAAAATTTAAAACTATTAAATTATCATTTTCAAAATTTTTTACAAAAATCTATAACGGTAAGTTTTTTTGTTTATTTGTTTTTTATACGTATGACTGCCTACTTTTATGCTAAGGTTTTGTTTAAAAAATTTATTGTAAAGAGAAATATGTTAAATTTTTAAATATTACTTAAGAATATGTGGTTTTACATAGTAAAATTTCCTTCTAGAGTACCTTATACTATTATTGTATACCTAATTATGTAGTATTACATAAATTTAAAAAAAAAAGTTTTTGTTCCTTTATTTTAAATAAAATAATATTTCTTTTAAAATAGTTCGTAAGCTTGTTTATTGTCATTTAACACTTATTTAGAAGTTTAATGCTATTAAACTAAATATACAAGCTAAAAAAACTATAATTTACAAAAATTTTATAAAAGTTTCAATAAACGATAAAGTGCTAAAAGAAAAAAATTTCCTGATTTTGTTTACTTAAAATTGATAATTAAAATTTAGTTTTAAAATTAATCACATTAAAAATAATCTTCATGCTATGTAATTTTTATGTAAAACATTCAATTACTATTCCAGATTTATTATAAGAGTAGTTTAAAATGAATACTTAGAATGTTAAGAGAAAAAGAATATTTTATGTAAGAACCATTTTTAATTAATTACGCAAATTTCAATATGCATATTTCTTTTAAATAATATTTGCTTTATGTTATTCTAATATATTATTCATTGCATTTATTATAATATCTCCTTTTACAATTAAATTGTGAGTGTTTCTTTTTGTTATAAATATTGCTGATGGTAAAAGAAGATGAATCATTAAGATGCGTAACACACTGGAAAAATTCCGAATCAAGTCGCGATAACAAGTACAGGCAATCAGGGTGCCGGTACTTTTTACCGTATTGTGATCCGTATTATTTTACAGCGTAGTATAAAGTTACGATAAGAGTATAAGAATACATAATATTTTATTATTAGTACCTACAATAGTCATATACTCGAATTAAAGAAATTTAAATTTATCAAATACGTGTTTAATTTAGGCTTCCCTGAGCATCAAAAAGCAAATTAATTAATAAAAGCTTTTTTTATTGAAATAAAACAAATTCATCATTAATAAAGTTATAAAATCTTTAATTTTTGTAATTTTTTTAGATTGATTAAATTAGATTTAATATTTAACTTGGAAGTAAAGATGCATGCATAATGCAATTGGTGATTTTAAAAAACGAAATTTTTTTCAAATATACAAAATTTTCTAACAATTTTTTTTCTTCTTTTATTAAGAATTTTACTTTATTTCATTTAAAATGCTTCCTTACTATAATATAAATTCTAGAATATCAAATATCATTTCTATTTTATGCAAAAATAGTGTTATACAGTGATTAAATTTTAAGTTTTTCGTTTGTCAAAATCTTATTGGTTTTCATGATTTCATTGAAAACTTCTTGAAAAACTAAATTCTTCATCAATTAATGTTAACATTTTAAAGTATGTCTTCCGTTTTCAAATTTTAAAATATGAAAATTGAATTGATATTTTCATTCTCTAGTCACAAAAATTATTATTCAAACAATTATTAGCTTTGAAAATTTAAAAAAAAGAATTTTTATTAGTGCCAATGAGACTTAAACATATTCTATTCATCCCGCATCATAATATCAATTTTTCTAAAAACTAAGTTTCAGATTGACTGATAGTGCAATGAAACTCAACAAATAAAATACATTTATGTATATGCAAAACAGAGACACTCAATTCTAAATCTTTTTAACGACGAAATATTCTAATAGCAAGGAAAATATATAAATTCTAACGAAACCATAACAAATCTTGTTATTGAAATGCTTTGAAAATAGCCTCATATTGTAATACGAAATGATTGCATTTCTTTTTGAAACTTGTTAATCGTATTGTATTAGTATAGAGATCAGAAATCGATGTTTAAAATATTTTTGATCATAAATTTAAATTTTTTTTATACGTGTACTTAGGACTAGAGTTGTATTATGAAGCTAAGAATTATGATCCTATTTTTATTTTTTAATGAACCTGCAAAGAAAATAACTCTATTATTTGACAGGTGGAAATTCTCAAAATGAATATGTAAAATTTGTGATGTAGGATATATTCATTATTATATACCAATTTTCGCTCAAACACAATATGCAATAAGTTGATATGGAAAACTAGCAATCGGAATAAAACAGAAATCAAGCAATATTGTTTAAAATTGTGCGAAAATCAGAATAAAATGAGTGTTTGAAGCTTTGTTTAATAATAAAAATCGTATAACGTTTTGTAAGGACCACTCCTAATATACATTTTTAGAAATCTTGTTAAAAATTGAAAACAGTATACACATTAACGATCTCAACTTTAACGTCAAATTCAAAACTTTAGCAAATTATGAATAACTAATGAAAAAGAAGGAAAGGAAAACATAAAAACTAGTTTGATTGCCTGTGGAAACTTGGATGCGCTTCTTATAATCACACTTCAACTCCTTAATGTTTCCTCAGTAAATCAAACAAGTGTTTGTATTCTCAGCCCTTCCTCCTTCAGTAGTGGTTTGTTAGATTTCAATAGGGTTTTCTTGCTTTAAATATAAATTGGCTATTATTAATATGTATTTTTTATTTCTTTTTTTGGTAAGATTTTAAAAAATTTTACAATAAGGATGGTCTTTACGAAACACCCTTTATATGCATATAAACTATGTATTCGCTAATTTATATAGTAACTTCTTGTAAGGCTGATTGGTGGAACAGATAAATAAGGCCTTTAACTCAAAGGGGAATTAGATGAAATCGCTGACTCTAAGTAACTCTTGATAAGTGAATTAAAGTCAAAAGTTTTAGGTAAAGATCATAACTATTACAGTCAAACTATCTTCTATTAAATAGTTAAATTATGCCAAATAGTTGCCAACTAGTATTTACATTGATGTTAAATTGTCAGGATTACGTATATGGCCGAAGTAATGGTTTTCTAATCCATTAGGTTTAAGCCATTAGCTTAGTAGTTTGTAATATCTACGTCATTTGTTCAAATCGGACTCTATCTAACAGAAAATGACACAAATTCAAACAATTTGATTCTTTCTCTTTAGTTATTTTAATAATGTTTTTTTTTATTTACAGAAATGGGCCGCATGGGCCACTCTAAGTTGCTTGGTTTTCTCTGTCTCTGAAGGATATTTTAATGGTGGTGGCGGCGGTTATGGCGGTGGAGGAAAAGGTGGAGGCGGGGGAGGAGGATACGGTGGAGGTGGCGGAGGAGGATACGGTGGAGGTGGCGGAGGAGGCCACGGTGGAGGTGGCGGAGGAGGATACGGTGGAGGTAGCGGAGGAGGATACGGTGGTGGTGGAGGAGGTGGAAAAGGTGACACCATCTTCATTGCTGTTCCTATTCAAAGTGGAGGCGGACATGGAGGAGGAGGTGGCGGATACGGCGGTGGAGGATCTAGTGGCGGTGGATATGGCGGTGGAGAATCTGGTGGCGGCGGCTATGGAGGAGGTGGAAAAGGAGGCCTTGGTGGCCTAGGAGGAGGCTATGGCGGTGGAGGAGGAGGTTATGGTGGAGGTGGAAAAGGAGGTTTCGGTGGCTTAGGAGGAGGTTATGGAGGCGGAGGTGGAGGTGGAAAAGGAGGATTCGGAGGTCTAGGAGGAGGTTACGGAGGAAGCAGTGGAGGAGGATACGGTGGAGGTGGATCTGGAGGTTATGGGGGCGGTGGATCCGGTGGAGGCGGATACGGTAAGCATAACATTTTAAAGTTTATATTTAACTTTAAGTTAGAAATATATAACCGTGAACTTATTTATAATATTTTTTAAAAAATATTTGAAAATAAATATTAATGAAATTTTTAATATAATTTGTTTTACAATATACTTTTATTCCATTAAATTACTTAAACATAGTTTAATAAATTTAACCTTTTTTCATTGAAATATTCTTTTTTTTTCATACTAAACATTAATTTTTCAAAAGAGCAACAATGAAAACGAAGTTTCCATTTTTGTTTGAAAAACTTTATAAGATTTATTTTATATTTTTTATTTATATTTATTTATATTTAATTATTTATTTAATTTATTTATTTACATTTGATAATTTATTTTTAATATAAACATGTAAGCATGTTCACTTCTAATTTACAGTCTCAAACTCACACTTGCTTTTTTTTTTTTAAACTATTTTATTTTGCTAACAATTTCACTCATTTCGATATACATTTCTTAAATCTAAAAACCTGTTTTACTTTATTTAATAACGTAAAGTCATTGGAGAGAGTATCAAATAATTAGTAAAAGATATTGCAACTATTTTAACTGATTTAATTAAGTTCATATATCGCTTCCGGTTTTTGGCATGATTGCGTAATTCTGATTAATTACTATTTATTAAATTTTATATCAATTTATTACTGACTAATCGATTTCTTAATCATTGCCTTTATTTATGCCGAACAAACAACGGGTAGTAGTAGTGACAATTGTCAAACTACATTGCAAATTAAGCAAGTTGCTCTGTTATGCATATTGTGTCGATATAAGAGTATAATTTGAACCGCTAGTTCAGGTGACACTTTATAAGATTGCGAAAATCTTCAACAACTAGGGTTCAGCATCAAGTGAGTCAGTTTTTTTTCCTTTTTCTCTTTTAATTGATAAAGTAGAGATTTTAATTACCATTTTTCTGACTATGCATTTGCACATTTTTTTATCGAGAACTTTAAAAATTAAAGACGACGTTAAATCTACTAAAATCTTTTAAGGTTTACTATTTGATAAAAAATAAAATGTAACTATTTTGGCAACTATGCTGAATACCTTTCAATTTACATAGTGTGTAGTACGTAGTAGTTGTCAAGTACGTACATCGAGTACGTAGTTGGATATTTCCTTGTTATGGTAAATTTTATCTTTAATGACAATGTGATTTTTTTAAAATTTAGGTGGTGGAGGCGGAGGTGGAAAAGGAGGCAGTGGTGGAGGAGTAGCAATTGTTGGAATCAGCCTAACTAATCTTGGCGGTGGTGGTGGTCATGGTGGTGGCGGTGGAGGTGGATACGGAGGAGGATCTGGACTCGGAGGTGGATACGGTGGTGGATCTGGAGGCGGCTATGGTGGTGGAAAAGGATTAGGTGGAGGTTCTGGTGGAGGATATGGTGGCGGAAGCGGAGGTTACGGCGGTGGTGGCAAAGGAGGCTTCGGAGGAGGTGGAGGAGGATATGGTGGTGGCGGTGGAAAAGGTGGCTTTGGAGGAGGAGGATATGGTGGCAGCGGTGGAAAAGGTGGTTTTGGAGGAGGAGGCGGTGGTTACGGCGGCGGCGGATTCGGTGGCGGTGGATATGGCGGTGGAAAAGGAGGCGGCGGTGGCGGAGGATACTAAAAGAGAAGTAAGTTAAAACTTCCTTAAATAAGTTACGAATCCACCGTTCAGTTTTTAAAAGTACTCTTCTCTTAAATTCTACTTTATTAGATTTTCTTATTTTATACCTGTGTTTTTATTACTAAACACATAGAAACCTCTTAAATAAGTTTATTCATTTCAATTATAGAAGGAAAGCTTAGTCCATTTTATTAATTATGCCTTAAAAAATGTCGCAAATAAAACTGTGCAGCATTTTTGTAACAATAGAAATTTAAGGAAAAAGAGATAACTTTAATAAATAAGAACAAAATACTATTCAGATTTTAAAAAAATAAGTGAAGTACTTTGAAAAAAAGTTTTCTTTATTTATTTATTTATTTTATTCATTTATTTATTTATTTCAATTAATAGTAGCAGATTTTGATTGCTTTGAAAGCTTAAGTACGAAGTATTTACTAGTTGTATATGCATTTTACTGTAGCAAATATCTAAATCTAATTTATAGTTTTTGTTTGCTTCAAAATGTTTGAGTGCAAAGTACTTTTTGTTGTACAGATCTTTTCGTTTAACAAATGTCGAAGCCTAATTAATAGTTGCAGTTTCCATTTGTTCCAAACCGCTAAGCTTAAAATGTTATCTAGCGATCTGAGTATTCTGCTTAAGTAATTCGCGTTTAAATCTAATTTTTTAAATTAATAGTTGCAGGTTTTGTTTGCTCAAAAAACTGAAGTACAGTGTATTTGCTAGCTGACTAAACATTATACCTTAACAAATGTTTACATCTAACTAATAGTTATAGTTTTTGATTGCTTCAAAATTCTGAGTGTAAAGAATTATTTTATGCAGGTTTTTTTATTTAACAGAAGTTGAAACCTAGTTAATAGTTGCAGGTTCTGTTTGATCCGAACCACTAAGCATAAAATATTTTTCTAGCTATCTCAGTATTTTACTTTTCCATACCTAATAAGTAAATCACTAAATCTAATAAATCAGAGCATTTTTTCTTTGCTTCGAAAGTTAACGCATATAGCATTTTTTAGCAGTTTAAATAGTTTACTTTAACAAATATCTGAATCTAAGCGATAGGTGCAGTTTCTGTTAGCAACAAAAGCTAAGCGCAAGGAATTTTTTTGGTCGTATACGTATTGGTTATTTAACAGAAAATGTTTAAATTTAATTATTACTTGCAGTTTTTCTGTGCTCCCAAAGCTTAAGCATAAAACATTTCTTTATAGTATAGGTATCATATTTAAGCAACAAACGTCTGAATATAACAAATAGTTGCAGTTTTTGTTAGTATGCAGTTACAAATGTCTAAATCTTTTTTATTGTTTTGTTTCAGATCGAAGAAAAGTGATAAAAACTCCTGTTTTCAACTTCTTCCATTAGATTGAAGAAAAAAAATCTGTGATGTTACCAGAACTTGCCACACCCGAGAAAGATGGACAGGGAAAAATATGATTTTTTTTTACCCTTTTGCATCCACATGGATCTCCCAATCGAGCAACTTTTGGATAAAAGTTAACTAAGTGTACCATAATTGTGTAATTTATATGTATAGACATTTCATCTGTCGAAGTGAGTGCGGCAATAAACATGTGATTTTGTACAGTTTAAAGAAATTTGTCTTCTTTCATTTGATTACAGATTTTTTTTAAAAAAATATCGCAATCAAAAAATCTCAATTTTAAGACATTTTGAAATGGTTTATTCATTCTATAAATTAAAGAAGCTGTAATATATAATATATTACAAAATTCTTAAACTATTGAAACCAGTAAAATAAATTTTTAAAAAAAATTGTTCCTTTTCATATACACTGAGAAAAAAATATGGTCAAAACTTTCAGAATATGGTGAAATGTAGCGTATTTTTGGCTCTATGGGAACACCAAAAAGCTCAGTAATTTTTACCTAAACGCTTGGTTATCCTTAGGGAAAATTTACAAATAATGGTTCTTTTTACTATGCTTGGTAGTAAATGTGGAAAACTTTGGTAGAATTTAGTAGTTTTAGAATGATACCTTAGAAAATGGAGTAATACCAGTTATTGTAAAAATTCGGTTGAATTTACCTTTTAGTTTCGTGTTTTCTACTAAACGTTTGGCAATAAGAACTATAATTTTGAAAACCAGAATTTATGGTAAACCATTACCATACAGAAGGAAATAAATACCAAATGAATGGTTTAAATACCATATAGTTTGGTTTTATAACCAGAATTTATTTTTTTCCTTACCATAAATGTCATTACCATGTAAGTACAGTAATTTGATCAGAATCTTTTTCTCCATGTAGATTACTGTCTTTAATTATAAAAGAAAAAGATTAATTCTTGTGAAAAAAATAAAACTAATGAAGAATATAAAATCGAACAATACTTTTTACTTTAAAGAGGTACACGACCCAAAAATCTTAGGAATTTGGATGATTTATTTTGCATTAAAAACTGTAATTAATTATATTTCAAATGGTGAAGAAAATGATGTTTTTATTTCAATTTGAAAGCGAGAAAAAGCTTTGAATTGTTCTTCTTTTTTTGCACATTGAATTTTAAATAATGCTGAAACTTCGAAAGTTTTAAGTATTTTTAGAGATTATTTTCCGTGATTTAAATTATCTATGCTTATTTTTTGTGTTTGTTTTATTATTAACTTTGAAAACTATATATTTTAAAGCCTCTGAAAGTCTACTTCATCGCATAAACTTCGTAATATAAATATTTTACTTTAATTTTTTTTTTCAAAAGCTTTTTACAAAATCTTTTTAGATCTCATTTTGCAGTTTTTTTTAAAAATTATAAAAAGTTTTTTATTGAAATTTTAGATATTTTAATTTTTTTTAGTCATAAATACAAAGTAATGCTGATAAAAATTTGAAGTATATACATTTTTATTGAAATAAATTAAAAATGTTTACTACTTCGCAATAAGTAACATAACTAGCTTGATAGTTTAAAGAATTAGAATTAAAACCAGAAATATTATTTTATTTTATAAAAATGACTCATAATATGATTTGTAAGCACTTTTTGGAAACTTTTTATTTGAAACAACAGCATAAAAAATTCCGAACAATTCATGCATTCCAAAAAAATTTTTCAGATAATTTTAAAATGCAAAAAAATTAAAATTATTTCAAAGTGCATAGAGGTTTATTAAAAGTAATTTGATTAGCCATCAACAATTCTGAATTTCTTTGCATTCACTATTATATTTAAAATTTTTAATAATGATATTTTCAAATTTATAGATTTAAAACTATTTCTAAGTAATTCTTTAACGAAGAAAAAAATATATATTTCGTGCAAATGTAAGTGTTGGTGACTTTTAAATAAATTTCAAGTGACTTGTAAGTAGATACTTGTAGACTTTATCTAACACTCAATTAGAAAAATCATTTAAAGCAAGAACATTTATGAAAATAAAATATAACAAGAACTAAAACAATATTTGATTTCTACTTCTTAGTTGCATTTCCTCTCAAGAGATAGTTCGAGCTATTCGATAGGAACCACGAGCCTTGAAAGTTATATTTTAGTGCGTTTCCTCTCAAGAGATCGTTCGAGCTATTCGATAAGAACCAAGAGCCTTGAAAGTTATATTTTAGTGCGTTTCCTCTCAAGAGATAGTTCGAGCTATTCGATAAGAACCAAGAGCCTTGAAAGTTATATTTTAGAAGAAAAATTACAATTGAAGAGGAATTGGAATTGTCAGCAACACTTTAAAAATGCTCAAGATAACGTTTTGTTGAATAAAACTATATTTTTGACACTAAGCAATTATATTTTTTCGTGCATCGCTCGTAGAAATTACGAAAAATCTAAAATACTCATCTGGGACCAAAACTAATAAACAGTTTTATTTATGTCAAAAATTTCCTTCGAAAAATGGACAACATTTTTCAGATTGAAATTATTTGTAAAGATTTTTTGTATTAAAACTTAAAATTCTCAATAATAATCTTCATGGTAGCAAATCCTTCATCTATCTGTTAATACAGTTGCGATAATTATTCGATTTAGTGTTTTCTCAGCTCTGCAAAATGACGTTGACATTAAAATATTTCTTTTCTCAATGGTAAAATATTTTATGACTTAACTCAATATTTATTTAATTTTAACTCCAAAGGGGAAACAATTAACATTAACAATTGATTGTTAATTAATATTAACAATCAATTATTCAGGAAAAATTTCTTTAAAATAAATAAATCCTATTTACTTAATGTTTTTGAACGAGCCACCTTTTACCTCTTCATGGTTTCTCTCGACAATCAAACATTACCTTTCTCGTTTTTAACTAGTCAAATTTTGATAACTTTCATCTTTTTTGTTCATTTAAAAATAATAAAATTTTGATGTAACTTTTTTTAAATGCTTTAGCTCATTCTTTAATTAAATCCAATTATCTTAGTAGGAAAATAACACACAATAAAAGACACTTTAGACTCTTCTTTATTTCGTAATAAAACAATATTTTGAAGGGAAAAAATAACTTTTAAAATCTTATATTATGTTTTAAATACTAGATATTTTCATTTACGTCAAAGACAAAATTCCTCAAAAAGCAATCTGATTTTTATAATACTCAATGATCTGAGTAATTAAAAAGTTTTGTCAGGATTCTTTTGATTTAATATAATTAATGTCAAAAATATATATTCAATTTAAATTCATAACACCAAAATCAGTTATTTATAAAATACAATGTAACCTAGTGTCTCAAAATAAATAAAATACTGCCTAAAATAAAATCTCAGTCTCCTTTTTTCAAAAGCAAAAATAAATACTAAACGAAAGCGGGCTTTATTTTAATTAAAATTATGAATTAAAGCTAAAATAGATATGACAGCAAAAATAGCTCCGACTATTCAAGTGTTTTACGTAGAGTTTGTTTAACCATTATTTTTAATAATGCGGTAAATAGGACAGAACAGTTAAGAGGTTTTTAATTAAGAGTTTTATTTTCTATGTAGGAAAAAAAAGGTTTGAAATTCCATTTCATTGTTTTAATACCTTCAAAATATAGATTAATTAAATGCCAACTTTAAAATTCTATTTTATTGTTTTAATACATGCAAAAGATAGATTATTTAAATGACAAAAACTAGCTTTAAATCCAACTCATTTACGTACTGGATGTCCAGAAAAAGAACCGTCAATTAGAAAAAACAATTAAAGAAAAATGGATACTGATGAAAATGTACAGATGGCTGCGTTCTGCTTAATAAACTAACCTTATTTTCACTTATTTTTAAATAAGTCAGTTTGTAAACAAACTTCTCTAATGCATATAAAAACAATGAAATAGTCTTTTCTGCTGCATATTAGATTATTACAAGAATGTCTTTTGATTTTTTGCTTAGGTTAGACTTAGACTTTTTTTTATTTTTACCTGCGGCAACTGTTTACTAACTTTGTTGCTAAATATAAAACATTATGGGAATAAAAACTGGTTTCTTAAGCTGAACACAGCAAACCGTTCATGAAAATATCAAAGTTTAAAATTATATCAGATTACAAGTGAAAAAAGTGTTCCTGAAACTGCATTAGCTATAATGTTTTCTTAATTAAAGTAGAATAATTACTTAATAAGTAAAAAATTAACATTTGTTTCGTAGATGATCCTGAAGCTTTGCAAAAATGAAGTGTAAATCATCAAATGTACTAATGGATATGTACTACCATTAATTAAAATCGAAATAAGTGAATAGTTAAAGTATCGGGTATCAGAGTTGGGCAAAAATGTAATAGATTAAATTTTTCAATTACAGTAATCACTTACTCATAATCATGATTACAACAGATCCTAATTTTGATAAAAGCTGTAATCGTGATTACAGTAATCAATTACTTGTAATTTTGGTTTCAAATCACCAAATTTTTCCAAGTGTATTTGTGATTCCAAGTAATCACAACAAGAAACGATTGCGAGTAATTACAATTACAGCTAATCAAAATATATGGTTACATGTAATCGTGATTACAAGTAACTGATTACATAGCAGTAATTTTCTGAAATCAATTTCAGTTGTAATTGATTACTGTAATCGACACCCAACTCTGCCGGGTACATCAAAAATGGCCCGCAATCAATTAAACAGAAACGGAAATAATCGCTGCACGCTACTTGGGAAACCACTTTTAAAATTCGCGGCAATGTTCGTCAAAAATTGGCAATAATATTAAATTTGAAAATAGTAATTGATTGATTACTACAAACAAATAATAATATGGATAAGTAAATCATTTGAAATCAAAATGCTCAAGTTTAAAGACAAAGATAACCAAAATAAAGCATTAGTAAAACTTATAATTCTATATGGATGCTGAACTATGAATAAAACTGAGGAAAATAAAGCACTATTAATAAATTTATCTCTTCACATAGTAATAAATATAAATGCATAAATTAAACGTTGTGTTTAAAACTCAACAGCATATTGTCAACAGAATATAAATTTAACTCCTATTCAAGGAAAGAACGAAAAGAAAGTTCTCTAGGTTAATGACCCAATAAAATTTACTTTCAGAATCGTCTGAAAAATGTTATAATAACAATAACAAAAAGAGTAAAAATTCATGATCACTTACTATTTTTGAACTTGACCTTATGGC